CGTTAATTTTTTTATTAAAATAATATCATCTTGATTTTAAAAAAATTAATATGGTGACTTGGTCAAAATCCGAAATCTGAGCCTTGAATCAGGTCTAAAAACTATGCAATCATGACTGCGAACAACCCTTGAGGGGATCGCAGATGTTTTTTTTTTTTTGGTGTCAAATAAAGCCTATGACCATCTCAAACCAAAGCTTTCTATGCGATGACTTTGTATCAAATTTGCATAAATAGATGAGTTTTACATCATGGTGGTATTAGATCATTTGGAAACGTGGTATAAGTCGTGTTTCTAAAGATTTTATTTTTTTGTGAAAAATAATTTTTTTAAATGTTTTTTATTATTTTGATGTATTCATTTCAAAAATAATTTTTTTATTTTTTAAAAATTATTTTTAAGATCAATATATCAAAACAATATAAAATATTTTAAAAAAATAATTTTAATTCATTTCAACATAAAAAAATACTTTAAAAAATAAATATAATCACATTTTAAAATAGACAATTCAGATGAATCCTTGCATCTACAAAAAAAAAAAAAAAAAACCTATTTAAAATCAACAAATGGGCTTACGGCCGCTAAATAAAATGTTTAATAAAACAATATATATTATGCAAAAACACTTGTTCCTTTTCATGTCTAGGGTGCCGACCCAGAGACTGGAGACAGATCTAAAATGCATGGTGCGGTAAGGGAACGAGCTTTTTAGATAATAAGCTTAGGAAGGGAAGCTAATTAGAGTAGGACAGCTATATGGAAATAATGGGACCAGACCAATGAAGCAGAAGCCCCAAACATTGTTAAGCTTCCATAGTAGCTGCCCAAAGAAAGGAAATGGCTGATGAATGATCAAAGCAGTCATTGAGGTTTAGTAGAAAGCAAAAAAAAAAAAAAAAATGGGTACTTTTTATTCTGGATCATGCATGCTTTCCAGGTACCTTAAGCAATACTTGGAAATGCAGTTTGCATTGGCTTGCCTAGTCCTCACCTCACCCGTTACATAGAAAAAATACCCAAGATTCTCTGGAAAATGGGAAAGACCACATGAGAGAACACGAAAGGGAGAAAATGGAAGGCAGATGAAATTATTTGTTTTTGTATTTTAAAAATATTTTTGAAAAAAATTGAATTTTTTATTTTTTTTCTTTACTTTAATTTTTTTCTATATTTTTAGAGCATTTTAATGTTCTGATATTAAAAATAATTTTTAAAATATTAAAAAAATATTATTTTGATATATTTTTAAATAAAAAACATTTTTAAAAATAACCATAACTACATTCCTAAACATACTATTAGTCAACAAACTCACCAATAGATTGGGCCAATTGAGAAATAACACATGAAGGGGAATCATGCAAAAATAATGTAGGGCTAGGTCATTTTTATACATGGTCTTGTCACTATTGACTTAATCTGCGAGTGAGTTAACAGACCAAGTCTAAGTAACAATTATAACAAAGATAAATGGTATGAGAAAATCGCTATGGATCAAGAGATTTTTTTTTTATTGTGGATTGTAATAGTAATTTCATTTTTAATTTCTTATCTTTTTGCGTGCAAAAAATTGTTTCTTTGGTTTTCTTTCTCTTCTCATTCATTGTTTCTACTTTCTTTTTTTTCTATTAACTTTTTACAAATTAAATCACGAAGAGAATGCAAGTGAGTCGGATGAGAGGAAACCGGAGAAAAAAGATGAAGATGGTGTTATGTATTAGACATAAATGGAAGAGAAGAGTGCACTAAATTGACAGCGTCGCGACGGAGAGAAATAGACATAGAAAAGAGTGTGAAATTTTATGGTATGTTTAATTTTGATAAAATTATGTGGTTTGCTTTTGTCTATTCTTAACAATTTGACGTGATTAATTATTCTTCCATTAACAAAATGGATGTATCTAATGAGAACATTCTTGATCTCTCCATCAAACCTATAAATTCTTAAGGATAAGTGGTGGATTTTATGAGTTCTAACATCAAATGTGAGATCTTTTTCCAAGATCTAACATGCTTTTTTTATTTTTTTAAATAATGTTAAGAGAATTAAAGATAGGTAACAGAAAATTTAAACAACAAATTAATGAGAAGAATAAGAGAACTATGAGTATGTTGAATCAACATTTTATTGGAGGACAAGTATATCTTTACAATGTTAACAAGAGAAGCTTGCAAGAGTAATTTTTCTTTATTCTTGATAAGAGTTTTTTAAGCTTTAGAGTTGATGCTCTATTAATTTTTTTTTTGTGTTGGTCTTTGCAACATATCATTTGTTGCTGATTTAGAAATTTAACATTTTGTTTGTTAACATTGTTATTATTACTTATTCAGGAATTTAACATGTTGTTTGTTAACATAATGAGTTTGGCATGTTTGCCAGACCTATGATGTCTGGACTTGGTGGTCAGCCAATTCCATAGTTTATGGACTTCATGGTAACCAAGTCCACATAACGTTGGTCTAATATATTTGTTAGATTTATGATGTCTGGACTTGGTAGCTGTCAAGTTTACATAACATGAGTTTGACATGTTTATCAGGCCTAAGTAAACATAAGTCTGTCATGTTTGTCAAATCTAAATAACGTAAGTTTGACGTGTTTGCCAGATCCAAGATGCCTGAACTTGACACCGTCCAAGTCCAAAGTCAAGGAAATGTGGATATGACATGTTTGTCAAACTCAAATAACATGAGTCAACTAATTTTTATTAATGTTTTTTTTTGCAAATACTTTCAACATAGTGCTGATAATCTAACTAAGCCAGACCTAAATAAATAATATTTTTATTCTGTTCTTTTTATCTTTTGTGTGAGTTTTATTTATTTACAATTTAACCTTTCAATTCTATTTTTTGTATACTATATTTTTCAATTCAATCCTTCTATTTTTGATTTCTTAAATTTTTTTCCCTTAACTCTTTTTTCAAAGTTTTTATAGTTTTTAATTTTACCATTCAAATCAAATTTATGATTTTTTTCAATAGTAATAATATTTTTTTAAATTTAATAATAATATAGTAATAGTTAATAGTAATTATGATAGCAATAACAACAACAACAACAATAATTTTTAATTTTACCTTTCAAATCAAATTTATGATTTTTTTCAACATTATTAATGTTTTTTAAAAATTTAATAATGATGGTGGTGATGGTGATAGCAATAATAATAATAATTGTGGTTATAAAAGTAATAATAATGATAATGATAGTAATAAGAATAAAAATAATGATTATTGTAACAGTGTTAATAATTATAACAATAGTATAAACAACAACAATAATAGTAATGATAATAAAAATAATAATGATAATAATAGTAATCACGATAATAATACTAATAACAATTATAATATTACTTATTAATGATAATAGTAATAGTGATAACTGTAATAATAATGACAATATTAGTAATAATAATAATAATGATAAGAACAAGAATTGTTTTAATAATAATGATGATAATTCATCATTCGATATTATATTCATTCTTAGGTACTGGATTAATTGAGAATTCAGTTTCATAATTAGTTTCGTTTCGTTTTTTATAAGATTATCGTGATCTAAAAAAACATTTCAATATTAAATTGGTGAATATTAAATTGATGTTTGATTTTACAATCATCTATTTTTATTATCACTTAAAGAAAAGATAGATTAAAAAAAAATTTATATTCCTAGCAAAGTCCATAACTCAGTTTATAGGTTTAATGTAATAACCCGACTTACTCGATTCACTCAAGGCAACTTGCTTGAAATGGATTGACCGTCACTTTTGGAAAGAAATTTTTAGTTTGTCATTTGCCTTCACACTTCTTCGTTTTTATCAAAACCTCTTTTGTTGGCGTTCATTAACTCATTATGGATAAATCATTACCTTACCTTTTGATATCTTACAAGACTAATGTTGAATTTGCAAAGAACAATTTGTATTAACATAGTAAAGTTTAGTTTAAATTTTGCATTTATTTATTAAAATTCAGTAGTATTTGACAAAAGTATTTGTTATCTTTTTTTTAACAATACATCAGAAATTCACAAGTAATTATTAGTTAGATATCCTGAGACTATTCAACACATTTGCATGAGTATTTTAGTCCTCAATAAAACCATTACTTTTGCTTGGCTAGTGAAAATTATGCAAATCAACAATCATGCCAAGTTTAAGCGTCTTGAATCTAATAACCATGCAAAGCCCAAACACCCATACCAGACTCAAGTACAATAAGTTGAGGAACCACGCTAAACCTAAACTATTTAGATCTAACAACCATTTCAGGTTAAAGCACCCATGCCAAACCCAAAGGTCTACCAACCATGTCAAATTCAAGCTACTCCAGTCTAATATCTTGAATTAAACTACTTGATTCAAACATGTTAAACTCATGTTACGTGTGCTACTTGATTCAAACATGTTAGCTTAATTCAAACATGTTAAACTCATGTTACGTGAACTTCACAAATATTGCAATGGACAAGCTTTGATTTTTATTTAGATTTCAATCTTGTTGTCTTGGTTGTGTATTATCCCATCTACATCTTAAAACCTTTGCTATTTGCTTATGATTTGTGTTAATTTCTTTTTACATTATTAGTTGTTAAAATTTATGTTATCTTATATGTTTAGCCCAAACATGAAACAAGTTCAGCGTAAAGACAGAAAAAAAGAAAAGAAAAAGAAGCCACAGTGGATCAGAGCACAGGCATGTATCTAGTGTCTCCGTAGAGGACGATGCCATGCAATGATAGAAACCCTAGTTGATAGAGACACCAACAGTGGCTGGATAATCACGGCTACACAAACATGAGAAAAAGGCTCACTTGCCAGTAAGTATTTAGAACAAGGAAACATGCAAATAGAATGTGCAATGTTTACATGGCATGTAGGGAGGAATAGAAGATGCTACACATAACGGGAAGAGAGGAGAGGAAACGAGAAACAAAGGTGCGAGGGACAAGCATGTAATTAAAGAGATAAGGTATGTGAAGAGCCACAAGATCCCAAATTCATGTCATTAAAGCTATCCATAGGCGAGGCTACATGCTTGGCCAAGGCATGTGTTCATAGGGTTAGCCAAAAAGCATGTAAGGCACAAGTCCTTTTCTTTTTATCATCATGAAAGAGACACCATTGTCACTAACTTACACTATCTCTCTACACAGGTTTCAGTCCTAATTAGCCAGTTCTATTTTAATCTGCCATCATTTGCCACATAATGTGATCTTAGCTTTCCCCTAGCTTTCTTGCCCCACAACATCATAACCTTAGAATCTCAAGCTTGAAAGGAAATAAAAGAAACGTGCATGACGTTTGCACCTGAGCACATGATGCCCATATCATGTCACTGTGGCACGCATTTTATTACAAAAGCGAAGAGGTAAGGTGCTCGATACAAATTTGATTTACAAACAAGAAAGGCGCACTCTAGATAGTTGACTTACTGTTTGCTTCCTCCATAATCATTTGTGTAGAAGAACCAGTTGAGAATCCCAACGTAAGCATTACTCTTCCAAACTATTTACATTTGTCAGGTAGAGATAACCAACCTATAATATGCAAAGTATAAATTAAAACAAGCCAAAAGCAGATTTCTGAATCATGAATAATGACTTCAGGTCATGACCAAGCAAACTGGATAAGAAATCAATAAAAAAGGTAGATAATCACATATGAATGTCTCAATACAGCCTAAGCCAACTTCACACCAACTTATAAGAGTTTCTATATCATAAAAAATTTATAACCTTGTTTGTAAACAAATTCAAAATTGAATGGTGTCTAATTGAATAATATCCTAAATATAATTTTATTTTAATTAAAATTTAAGGAAAAAAATAAAAAAAAGGGCTAAATATAAAGAACCCAACGCCAAGAGCTGGGTGGAGCATTATTGGCCCAAAATAGAGAAGTCAAGAAAATGAGCCTGGCCTTCTTTTTTTTTTTTGTTAAATTGGGCAGATAACATGTTATTCACCAAATGTTTTTTTTATAAAAAACAAAAACAAATCACACATCATCAATTGAATTCTAGCCACTCTAGATGGCTGAAAAGTTGAGTTCTCACTTGTAGGACAAAAAACACTCATTTTAAACCCCTTTTCACCTGACCACGATAAATTCATTTCTAACCTTAAATCAACCTTTCATCTATATAGAAAAACTTAACCCAAATAAAAAAAAAATATTGAGTCTCAATCTACTTTTTCCGACAAGATAAAGGATTAAAAACACATCAATGATACTCACTCGTCAAAGAAAACTTATTGACACCAAAATCAGCCTTTTTTTTTTGTCAAAATGTGCCATCCAATCACTTTTCTCTCATCTCTCAAGCTAAAGAACTAAAAAGGAAACAAAATAAAGTAAGCTAAAGAACTAAGAAGGAAACAAAATAAAGTTTTGGACCAAAACTAAATGGATCACAATAGAAGTCAAAGGCAAATATGTGGGACTAAAACATACTTTTTCCTGCCAAATTGAGATTGACCACGCCTTTTTATGGTTTTTAGTGTGGTCCTTTTCCTTTAAATTGTTTCTTTATACTATAAAATCAAACTACATCTCATTAAATTGACCTTTAATCAAGTTTTTCAATCTAATTAAAAACTTTAAATCTCAAGAATATGCAATGAAACGAAACTCTCAACTCACAAAACACCAAAAACAACACATGAAAGGATGCAATAATAAAAAGAAAAAGTTTAAGACCAAAAAAAATAAAAACATTGCTCCAATCCACAATTGTACTCCAAGAGAACATTATATTAAGCTTATATCTTGTTAAAACCAGAAGGTAAGAGGGTACTAACTAATGTTTCTAGTGAAGACGCTCAGTTGTAAACTGCTACCCCAACACGTTTTTTAGTTCATGTTTTAGCTAAACCAACATTCTTTCCCCAACGAAGAACACCCCTGCATTAAGAAGTTTTGAAAGGTGATGATTAGTTACAATCTTCTAAAAATCATTCTTTTACCATGGAAGATTAAGGAACATGTTATCATGGTTTTCAATAGATAATTTAGCTTCAATGAATTCCGACAATTAAAGGAAATGTATTAGGTTAACTAACATCACCTTAGCAATAAGATCTATCTACTAACAATCATTTGATAATCTTTCTTTCTTTCTTTCCCCCTTCAATTTTTTTTAGAAAAAAGTAATTCATCATTTCTCTATGAGTGTCCCAAAAATCTCACTCTTAAATAAAATAATCTAGTTGACTATTGCTATATAAGCAACTATTTCTATTATAAAATAAATAATTTTGTTTTTTATGAATCTCAATAAAAAAATTGTCAAAAAGAATTAACATCAATAAGAGGAATTGATTGGAACGACTCTTTTAGGTGTCATGAGTACATGGAAAAATCTTACGATTTCTTGCCATGACACCACATGACATTTGACTTGTATGCCAAGTAATATCTCAAGCAACTCAAACCAAGAGCCTTTCCTTCTATTCAATTTTAGAAGTCCCATCATCATCTTTTGAAAGAGTTGAAAACTTGAAATTCTGTTATTCTGCCAAAATCCCAAGAACACATTCTCCAACCTGAATCAGTAATTTCCCTTCGTATGGTGCTACCTTACATGGACTTTTAGATGTGCTCTAGGCTCCTAAAATAGAAGGGTTCCCAAATCAAAGGCTGCTTTTAGATCATGGGATAAAGATAAGAACAAATTCAAAATTAAATTCAGAAGAACACACGTCTGATTTAAAAAAATATAAAAAAAGTTAATTGCTCTTGTTTAGTTTTGACAAGGAGAACAAGCATTTAAGAGTTTATGTCAGTAGATAAAAGAGGATAAATGAACAAAAAATGTTCTACAGACCTTTCTTTCTCTGACGGTAATTATCATTGAGAAGTTTCTGGAGCAATGCATCCTGATTGCAGCAATCAAATAAATTAGAATTTGAGCTTGAGCAACAAAGATATCACATAATAATGAACTTAAAAAGATGAGAGGGGCGAACATCAGAGCAGGAAAAAGAGAAACCAAACCAATTGTAAACTAAGCACCAAACCATTTTAAATCCTTTATTGCAACCTAATTCCCTTCAAACAGCTAAAAAATACAGCCAGACTCCTAAAACTACATAAGGGGTTGGAAAGAGAAAACTTCAAAATTAAGTAGAAGCAAAAAAAAGTACAAGAAAGAGGTACAATTCCATACGGACCATAACCTATAAGTCTTTTGCCACTATATACAACATGCATGCTCTGTAACTGAATATACAATTGGTTAGCATATTGTATGGTTCTTCTTATCACATCATGAATAGTGACTAAAGTTCACATATGAAAGTGAAGGCTCACCAACATATCCGTAGAAGTTAGAATGACAAGGGATCTTAACAATGGGTAGAAGAAGGGAAGGTTGAGTTAAGTCATAGACTCCAAAAATAGAAAAGTGGTATATAATACAAGATTACAGATTTATTACTTGATTGGAAAAAAATTGCATATCTCACCCATGGAAAAGTCTCCATTTAAGAATATATAATAACAAATGTGATGCAAAATTGAAAGAAAGAAAGAAAGAAGAGATAATATTGACTAGGAAATCTGTACTTGTACTTCACAGCGTACAACTGCAATCACATAGTCATTATGTTCCTCAAGACTCAATGGAGGAAACAAAAAGTGCGTACAAGCATATAGCTGCATCATTTTAGAAACAATGGTGTATATTATCTGGCAAAGTTAAATAAACTTCAGGAAAACAGAAATTGTGTTACAAACATAGAATATACCATGCAGCTTGTAAGCATCAACAAAGAAATATGCATTCTCAGCTAATCATCTAAAAAAGCCATCAACCAGCATATCTGCCCATTTGTTAACGAGTTGATCATTCCTTAATACCCTGTGCTTTTTCCAACATAATTATTATTATTATTATTATTATTATCATCAATAGATCATGCCATTAATGTGTGATTCAGCTTTGGACCCAGAGCACAATAAACATAAACCTCTTGTGTTGCAAAAAGAAGGTGCAATGCAGCCCATTTACATTGATGTAATACAAAAGGCGTGCCAAGAGTAGAATCATAACCTAACAATCAAAGGATCTGAAATTCAAAAATAAAATGGGAGTGACAAATACAAAATGAATCTGGTTAGAGAGCAAGGGAAATATGAAAAACACAACCATGCATCCATAAACAGAATGCCATGCATCTGCAAATATTCTACCTTTCCTTTTCTGATTCAAGCACCAATAAAGCACAGATTATGACCATCCTCTCACAATAACAAAATGTAAGAAATACGAAGGTGTGGGTCCAAATGGTGATTGAATGAAACAAACAAAATCAAAACACACCTCAAAAATACTATCATCAATATAAGCCAAATTCGCGGCATTAAACACTGATGGAGGCTTCTCTACTTTTGGCCCACTGAATCATCCAATTGTTCTACAATTTCACATAAATTCCAATCAAAAAGAAAAAAAAATGGTAACAATCCCAATTGAAAATGATAAAAATAAACGAATCCTTCATTTGATCATCAACCCTTGTTAGGAATGACAAATCATTAATTTGGTTTCCATTAATTATTCTATTACCTATCATTTCCTTGCTATGGTTATTTATCTGAGAAACTAGCTAATCAAAGTAGGAAATGGAAGACCAAAATAACAGAATCTTGGCAATCCCTGAAAACCCATTAACACAAATAACAAGGTTCTTTCTTTCTTTGACTGAACAGAAAAGAATTCTCCTTATTCATTAACCACAACACCATAAGAAAACAAAAGTCCTATATTTCTTTCAAGATAGATATGAGGCTAGAGGAACGTGGCTAGAGAGAGAGAGAGAAACAAGTGTGAAAGTGATAAGTACCTTTACCCTGAACAATAACAGTCTTGCGTTTGAAAACGTCAGAAACTGCCTGAGCAGTTAAAGTGAAAGTCGGTGAGGAAGCAGTTTCTGTCGGTGGTGGGGAAGGGACAGAATTGTTGGGTTTAGGATTGAAGGTTTTTGAAGGAGATTCTTGGATTGTAAGGGGGTTGGGTGTCCACTGAAGCAGCTCTTACTCTCGTTACTTTCCTGGAAATCATATTCATATCCATATCCATATTCATTTGTACTGCCGTTGCCGTTGGCTCCCTCTTCTTTCATCGGTTAAGGTACAGGCACCAGTGGGACTCCGACAGGAGTATAGGATACTATGGCTGCTGGGTTGGGTTTCGGCTGGTTTTGTTTGGGCTTTCTTTTGGTTGGGGATAATTAACCTTATCTTCTTCTTCTTCTTCTTTTTTTTGTTTTTTTCCAAACATTCAATGGTGGGGCTGTAGGTGCATTTCTTATGGGTGTCAGCATCTCCTTGAAGACAATAAATACACGCACGCATGCACTAGATTATTATCTCACATGTATTATGAGTAGAATTATTTTTTTTTGTGTAAAGAAACAACTAACTAATTTTTTAGTAGGAAAAAAAAATCATGTGAGCATTAATTTAATATATGTTGGTCTAACTTTGTGAATTTAAAAATAATTAATAAAAAGTAATTTAATTTAAAATGAATTTTTAAATTAAAGATTTTTTTTATAAATATTGAGACTGATCAACTCGTCTTAATTTACTAATCTATATGTTGGATTATGAGACCATGATAATTATATAGAAAGCAAATAAATACATATTATAAATTCTAATTTCAATAAAATTAATTTTAAATGAAGAAATTAAAAAAACAAAAAAAAATGACTTGAGTTAACTCATATTAATTTTCCAAACTAGTAATCTGGGTTATGAGACCAAGATAACCTAATAAAAATAAATTAAAAAAAATTATGAAACTAGATTTTCGACTAGTTTAGTGTTGAAAAATAAAATTAAAAAAATTAATTAAAAAGGATATAAAAATAACTTGAGTGAACTTAGGTTAACCTACCAATCTCGTGACCCAAGTTGTGAAATAGAGATAGTCTCGTATAGAAAGAAAATTAAAATAAATAACAAAGTCTAATTCTCAATCAACTCAATATTAAATGATAAAATTAAAAAAAATCAATTAAAAAAACTTGAGTCAATTGAATTATCTCGTCAAACCTATAGTCTGGGTCATTAAACTAGAATAACCTCATAAAAAGTAAATTAAAAAAAATTATGAAGTCAAATCCCCAATAAGTTTTATATTGAATGATGGAATTGAAATTAAAAAAATCAATTATAAAAACAAAAAACAACTCGAGTCAATCTGGATAATTTACCAAACCCGTGATCTAAATTATAAGACAAAAATAATCTCATGAAAAATAAACCAAAATAAATCATAATATTTAATTCTCAATTAACCTAATATGTCAAGGATGCATTTGATAAAAAAATGATGTGATGTGAATGATTTTAAAATCAACAACAATAGATCTGACGAAAATGGATGAAAGATGGGTTTGGTTGGTTGTCTTTGTTATGGTGTTTAGGCTGGATTATAGTGATTTTAGGGTAAATAAGATGGAGGATAAACTAAAGTGATACTTTGATAAGTCGATTTGAACACCACAAAGATCAATCTAGGATTTTGACGCCACACTTTTTGTGATTAAAGAGTGATAAGTTAGGTAGGGTTCTTCACAAATTAATTTGGAAGAACAACTCTTAATTCTCTGAATTAAGTTTCAAATATTGGCCAAAAGTCCTTTATTACATATTCTGATAGCATATTTATAATTGGAACATCCCTCTATAGTTAGGAAAATTTAATATAACAGAAGTCAAGCTTAAAAATTAGATTTTGACAAAATAACTAAACAAATTAAACTAGCACACATTTTCTGACTTTAATTGAAACATAAACAGACCAAATTTAAAATGGCTATAACTTCTTGCATAAAAGTCCAATCCAATCATGGTTGGACAATCTCAAAAGATCACATTCTGAACTTGAAATTCACCTAGATTAGTCTTGTTTTCACATGCAATGGATGACTTCAAATTCAGGTATTATACTTATTCTTACACCATTAGTGTAACCTTTTCACCTTGACATAATTAACTTAGCTAGACATAATGAAAGAAAGCAAAATAGATAAACAAAATAAGAACATAAAAGTTAACTAAGTAAAGGAAAGGAAATGAAAGGCATAAACTTAATATTAATGAAAACAAAGCATAAAAAATACAAAGAGAGAAAGGAAGAGCATGATCTTGATCTGGAAATCAAGATGCCTAAATGCATGGCAAATGCCTCCTTTTATAGGCCAAAAATGGGAACTATTGATTTGATGACTAATTGATAAGTGGGTGACCAACTTTTGACTTGGTGACAATCCTTATCTTCTCTTGTCTGCCCAAAACGTCATTGATAACGTCAAAATTGGAGCCAGTTGTAAACATGAAAGTTGTAGGCAATTGTCTCAGCTTTCTTGTGTAAAAATTTCAGCTCATTTGGACTTCTAGAACTCCAGATATGGCCAAAATACCGAATAGTGCTCGGGCTGGAAGACAGATTCGGGCTTCTTTGTTGTTGCTACAATTTGGACTTGATAATGGCCTTTTTAGATCTTGGGCTCCATATGAAAGTTGTAGGCCTATGTCTTACCTTTCCATCCATATAAATTGGACCTAAATCTGAGATCTGTAGCTCCAGATATGACCCAATTACCGAACAGTGTTCCGGTTTGGATTGCACCGACATCTCTTTTCTAAGTTTGGCCATCTCTTTATCCTTGCAATTTAAGTTCTTCAAGTCATCAATCAATCCTTTCATTTATGTGATAGGCCTGCATTAAAAATAGACATTTACCATAAATTATAGGTATCTTATATTATTAGATACATTATTATAAAACATATTTTAGTTAAGGAGTTATTGATACTTCAAGTGCAAAATGATGATATAAAACCATGATAAAAATGCACTTTTAAGTACTAATCACACCCCCCAACCAGCTTATTACTAGTCCCTAGTAATCAAAGCGTTAAAATAGAAAACAAATTTGCAAATTTCACAAAGCAAGGTATTCATCATTTAACTTCCATTAATCTATCCAGATAAACAAACTCTCATTAAATTTATATATCTGCTCAATACCACTTAACAAGATATTAATAAACCTTTCTTTTGTGCTCAATGTATCAACACATAATTATGGGGCTTTTCTTGGAAGAAAACAAAATTTTTGTTCTAATGTTTAAGGTTAACTTCCTTGGGTTGGGATTATTATTTTTGTCTTTTTTTTTTAATGTATATACATATAATTTAAAAATATCATGCATCTTTAACCCATGTAATGAGCTTTCAGCTAATGACTCCCAGACCAGTTGGTATTAGGGCATTAGGTGTTAAGACACCCCTACGAGCTTAGTAACTCGGGTCGCAGATACTGATATGTAGATAGTGCAATGTTTGATTCCTTTAAGCTTTTCTCCTCAACCCATGTAACAAGCGTTGGGCCAATAGCTCCCAAGTCAGTTGACTTTAGGGTATTAGGTGTTAAAACACCCCTTCGGGCTTAATTGCTTAGGTTAGGGAGGCTACGAAACCAAACTTATCTACATTTTTATTATCATCATTTTTTTTTTCTTTTTTTTTTTTTTTTTTTTTTTTTTTTTTTTTTTTTTTTTTTTTTTTTTTTTTTTTTTCTTTTTAATTATATACAATCCCTTTCCCTTAGTTGTTACCTTTAACAAAAGAACATAAATAATGTAATAATCCAATATGCAACCCACAATCATATGTTAAAGTGTGTGTGTGTAAATTAAGGTTTAAGAATACATGTTAAATAAGTATATGAGCAGAATTAAGTGGTAACAATACGAGAGTTTGTAAACCTGAATATTTCAGGAAGTATTATAATAGACCTTGTTAAGAATGGTTACTAAGATGCGTCTCAAGAGTCACTTTAACAAAAGAACTCCTTTACTCTGCCATCCTAGTAACAACAATTATGCACATGCTTTATGAAATGAAAAACAATTTTTTTTTTTATCAACTACTACCCTCTCCCCCCAACCAAAACGAGACATTGTCCTCAATGTTCTAAGGTAGAAAGATAGAGTATAAAAGATATCACCTGAAATAACGAACACTGACAAAACCTGAAACACACTGAAACAAAAATAAGAAATAACAAAACATAATAATAAAACCAAAAGACACAAAAATTCACAAATGAAGGCTCAAATCCAATCTAAGCTTTTTACGGCTTTCCTTAGATGACCAATTTATGCGACTCATGGAAGGATCAATCACAGGAATGAAAGATTGTAGTTGGTCAATCAATTGTTCAGCAGTAGTAGCAGAGATTATGATTTGTCGTGCAGAAGATGTTAGAAATTCCTGTTCCACAGCATGATCAAGAAAAGACAACAACTTATCATAATAACCATTAACATTTAACAAACCTATGGGTTTATGGTGAATGTGCAATTGAGCCCAAGAGGAAATATGAAAGATCTCTTCCAATGTGCCTAGACCACCTGGTAAAGCAATGAAGGCATCAGCATGGTTAAACATTGCATTCATTCGAGCTGACATTGTGGAGACCTGAAGTTCCTCTCCAATTGTTTTTCCAATGATGTCCCCTTGTGCCAAAGCTTCAGGGACGATTCCTAAAACTTGACTACCTCCTAAAAATGCAGCTATTGACACACCTCCCATTAACCCAAGACTGCCTCCCCCATACACTAAATGAATCTTTCTCTCAGCTAGCACCTGACCAAGATGATTTGCTGATTCTAAAAACTCTTTTTCTTTCCCAGGACTAGATCCACCGAAAACACAAATATTTCTTATATGATGACTTGGGGAACTTGCCATTTCTACACACTTCTATATATGCTGAATGAATGGGTTGAGTAGAAATGATGGAAATGAAGAGAAGATTTTATAGATGAGAAATTGAAAATACAAAGCATACCACCTATATGTAGGCTAGCTGAAGTCTTACTCTCTCTCTCTCTTTCTTATTTATTTATTTATTTATTATTATTATTTTATTATTATTATATATATATATATATATATAAATGTATGTACAAGCAGTTGTGATTGTGGCTCACAGCTTTCCCTTGGTTTTACGTCCAAGAACGGCTTAAACGCCCTCTATGGGTCGGGGATAGGCTTCCCATCCAGTTTTCTTAAAAACTGGCAAACAGGGTCTTTTTTAGT